ACATCAACTAGAGAACTTTTAGGTGAGTCAAACACGACAATTACATCATCTTCATTTTGTTGTCCGCAAATGCTTGGAAAAGCTGTAAACCGTTGTTTCAAAGCTTTACTGCTGTCTCGCAATAAAAGATTTGCAGTACTTAACAAGGTTGCTGGAAATGTCGCAATGTGGAAGTTTTGGAAAAAGATATTGAAAAACTAGTAAAAGACTTTTACTTTCAACCAGACCTTGTTTACAATATGGCAGGTATGTCAGATACAATGGCTGTTTGGAAAAATGGAAGAAAGGAAACTTTGAGGAAGTATTACATGACTATGTTCTTCCCTGAGACATATACGTTATTTCTTGAGAATAATGAAACAATTTAAATTTGTTTTTCCAAAATTTGTGCTCTCCATCCACCTAATGTACTGCTTTTAAAAAATACACCAGCTGATCAGTGTAAATGTGTGATGCATGAAAATTTAATACTATATTTGAGCAGATTGGGCATTGTGTATAAAAATAATTGTTGGGATAATATTTTGTGTTCTTCTAGTGCATTAGATATGTCCAAGTCCTGTTGGAATAACAAGTGTAAATTATGTAAAAACGGTTTGTACCTCCAGAATCCTGCAAATAGATTTTGCAATGTCATATTCATGCGAATATTAATCAGAAATCCAGTCAGCTATATGGAGCAAGCGTTATTCTTTTTAAAGCAGCTACGTTTGTAAGGGGTACACAACAAGGTTTTGTTATTTGCTCCGATACTCTCAAGAAAAACAAGGATACTATTTTTGCATTTCTTTTCAAAGTATACGATTATATTATGAAATTGCTTGATTCAAATTATTATGATGAAGGAACCATTTGGTTGGATGGGCCATCGTCTGAATTTAGAAATAAATACATGTTGCATTTGTTGCAACTTCTGGTCTGTCGATATCACAAAAATTTTCAGTAAAAGTATTTTGCCACTTCCCATGGAAAGGAGGTAATTGACGCAATTGGTGGGAAAGAAAAATATCTCGTATGTCAAAAAATTATGTTAAAGAGAGCTAACACCATTGTTCAATCATCTAAAGATTTTGTTGAATTGACAACCATGTTAATGCCCAATTAACAATATACTGTTAGATTTTGCCAATCCTCTCACATTTTGAGATCATTTTAATGAAATAAGAAGCGCTAATGAGGGGGCTAGGGGGGGAGGGCGATGGCTCCTTTACCCTAAAAAACAAAAATTTTTTATACTTTTTATGAAAATGGTTTTTATCCTTTTGAAAAGGGTTTTGATTGGGAGCAAATTAACAAAATAAACGTGAAATTTTGATTAAATTTTGATTATTATGTTATAGAAACGTATAACTATATGGTATATTACACTCTATTATATATATAGTTATTATATGTAAAGACAAAAGAAAAAATATTTATGAAACAAACTATAGTCACAAAACAACCCAGAAACTTCTTCTCCGTGACATTCTTGAATGTATTTTAGAACAATCTCTTTTTAAATTCCAGCAGTAATCCACCATCATGTGCGTATACCATATTCCTTGGTACCAATCCTCCATAGTTTTAATATCTTGGTGAAATTTTTCACCTTGCTCCTCACTCATGTCTTCTAAGTTTTTAGGAAAACGATCTAAATGGCTGTGTAAATAGTGCACCTTAATACTCATATTACATCCGAGGGATTTGAAACTGCTAAGCATGTCGTCAACCAGTTTAACATAGTTTTCATCTTTGCGTTTGGCCAGAAAATTTCTGGCAACTGCAACAAATGAAGGCCAAGCCTTTCGCTCAGTTTCATTCATTGAATTCACGAAGGCAGAGTCATTAATAAATTGTCTTATTTGCGGACCATCAAATACTCCTGCTTTAATTTTTTCTGTACTCAACTGTGGCATCTTCTCCCCTATATATCCAAAACACGATTCGTTTTTATCAAGAGCCTTTACAAACTGCTTCATAAGGCCCAGCTTGATATGCAGTGGAGGAAAAATGATTTTATTTCGTTCAACTAAGGCGTTGTTAATTAAATTATTTTTCCCAACTTCCATGTTTTTTCTCTCAGGCCATTCTTTTTTAGTCCAGTGGTGTGTTTTGTCCCTGCTATCCCAGAGACACAAAAAGCAAGGATATTTAGTGTAACCAGCTTGCTGTCCCAGGAGAAAGTTAACCATTTTTAGGTCCACACAAATCACCCATTGATGTTACTGATACTTTAGCTTTTCCAAGATTAAAGCAATGGTGTTATATTCTTCTTTCATTTTTGTTAAGTGAGCAATTGGTATTGAACCAAATTTATTTCCATTGTGCAGAAGAACATATTTCAAACTTCGCTTTGAGCTATTAATAAATAAACGCCAGTCATCTTGAAAATATTTATTCATCTTTTCTAGGAGTCCTCTAATTTCGTGACAAAATACAAGATCCTCTTCTTGAGAGAAGAAGGGTAGCAGATCCTTTTCTTGTGTACAGTAGAAAGTAATTTTGGTTCCTTGTTCCAGTAAATTTTTGTCCTTCAATCTGGAAGCAAGTAACTCAGAAGCTTCTTTTGATAGATTGAGATCTCTGGTAAGGTTGTTCAACTCATCTTGGTTGAATTGTTGTGGAATAGATGCCTTTCCCTCATAATCACTGTCAATTTCATTAGTATTAAAAGAATTAGAAGCACAATATTCATCCTCGCAGAGCTCTGGTAGCTGGAGAAACATTGGGATTGTAACTTCCTCTGATTGAAGAACCGGTCGTCTTGCAGATAATAAATCAAGATAAGTCCACTTGGTATGGTTGTTTCGATTGATTCCAATAATATTTAATATGCAGAAATAACAATCATTGAAATGGTTTCGTGGTTCTCTCCAAACCATTGGCACGCCAAATTTCATACTTTTTCTTTTCCCGGTTGTCCACTGTCGTAAATGTTCTGTACAAGTTTTACAGACCTGATGTGGGGCCCAGGTTTTATCTTGATCCCCAAGCCTAACACCAAAGTATGCAAGATAAGCCCTCTTTAAAAAGTCACTTACTTTTTTTCTGTTTTTTTTAACATATATTCTCCGCATATGTAGCAAAACACATCAGGGGGATTCACACAACTTCTTCTATTTGAACTCATTTTATCTAGATCTAAATACAAAAATGCAAGAACAATTTACAACACAATACTATTTAGGTTAACTTAGCAACAACACTTCAGAAAATAGAAATATCACACGACACCAACTTTCAACTATTCCGCACGGCAACAACTCTCATATTAATCTCAATTATAGTTGAAGTTTACTTAATTTACAGTATGGTTACTCCACCTAGTGGATTTTCCTGTTGTATAACAAATATATAGAATACAGTAACCAAACATTGTCTATATGAGTTACAACATTACTAAATGGAGTTAAAACTGTTAATTTCATGTAAAATCGCAACTTAAAAAAATTCATCTCAAAAATTAGAGCTGATAGAGAAAAACTTCAAATTCAGATTCAGCAACAAAAATATAGTTAAAATCAATTATTAAATCTTAGGCACCAAAAAACTTTTTTTTTTTTGTAGGCCTGTGTTATAAATGTACTATATAAGTAGATATGATTTTACCATTTTTTACAAATTTTATTGATGCAGCTTTGAGTGAACATATTTTATCTTTGCCGCAGAGCTATGCTATAAAACAGTTAGTACAATTAGTCTCATACAAACATTTGATTTTTACATTTACCAAATCTATATAATATCATTTGTGTTATTTTTATTTGTGTTAGTCTTCTACTACATAGTTTCTGCTATATTATTCAACTGCTATAATATTCAACTCATTATTTTTGATATCAATGATATTTTGATATTTTTATTTCAAATTAGCAACTAATATTTGTTACATTAATGTTAAGATTAGGTCCCAAAAGCTTGTTTCTTCTGAACTTTACTCAGTCGAAATTTGTTGTAGTGATACTAATACAATGATTTATGTTAAATAACTTATTCTTATTCAGATTTATAAAAACCGTTCAATAGCAATAACAGAAATTCCACCAATAGAGCTCCATCCAAAACTTAGATACTATATCATCTTTCGCAATCTCTTTCAAAGATTGAAATATGTGTCCTTGAATAACTTTGAATTCTTTAAATTCAGCATCAGCTATTTTAAGGTAGACAACTGGCTGTATATGAGTGAAGGAAGCTTTTGAATGTGAGAGTATTAGAAAAATTAGCTTAACTATATTTCTTCTTTCCAGCAGTTATTTTTATTGGCACACCAACAAAGTTTAACGATGTAGCTTTGGCAATGCTCTTAATTGTTGATATGATAATAAAATTAGGCAATTCAAAGTCTCCTACAAATTCAGGACAACGCTATTAATCCAAAAATTCATATTGTCACCACATTCCATATTTATCCAATGCCTCAATAACCTTTTTGGAATTTATTCAAAGCATGTAACTGAAGCACTCCTATATTTTTTGAATACCCACTGGCAAAAATACACGAGACCATGCAACCACCGAGAGTATCAAGATTATCATGTTTAGGGATAATAAGGTTTGAATGATAAAATCTTATTTTAAACTTATCAATTTAATGCAAACTTTAAAGTTAGATTTTATCTTTCAAAGGTTTTTTCTTTATATTTTATAACACGGCTTTATTTAACACTAACTAGACATAATTATTTCATCCCCTAAATTATCCCCTAAAAGATTCCCTGTGCTAATCACATCAAGCACCATTTCATTTTTTTTCAATAGTGTCATAAATAAACACTCTAATGTCTATAAAACTTTTGTAATTTTTTCACCATTCTGGCTTGCTGAAAGGTAACAAAATTACAAATGACACGGTGGGATCCAAATCAGAAATTAAAATTGTATTATAATTGCAAAAACGGCACCGTAATTCTGTTAGTGAATTAATTTTTTACAACTTTTTTTAATATAATTTTGCTGTTATAATAATAATATTATAAAAGAAAAATGAAAACCATTTCTGCTAATTTGCTTTTTAGGTGCTTCTGGAGATGTCATAATAAATGATGTTGGAGACCGAAAATCAGCTCTTCAAATCAGAAATATTATTAATGGTGGATATGAAAGAGTTGCTAATTACTATTCAAGTTCTGATCATTTAGAAATACTACAAGACAAAGTTATAATATGGCCTGGAAAAGTTACTACCGTACCTTTAGGAAGACCTAAATGCGGTTTTGATGAAAAATTATGTACTTATTCAACTAATTATTCAACAGGTTATTCTCCATATATTTAATATTTAAAAGTTTTACTAATTTATTGTGGTATATTTAGTTAATAATATAGTACTTTTGATAAAACATCTAAAAACAAAATTTAAAATTCTTGCATAATTATATTCTTAGATCTTTGGGTTCCCATTGTTTGTGGAGTTCTAGCATGTTTTCTTTTCATAATGTTAGCTATAATTTTTGTTTTAAAACGTCGGTGAGTTTTTAGCTAAACATTATTTTAAAAATGAATTGATATATTGAATTTTTAAAAGTTAACTTATTATAATTGTTAACTAACTTATAATATTAAACAAAATTATATAAATAAATATATTTTTTGAAAATCAAATAGGGAAACAGTATTGATAAAAATCTAGTGAGTACTTGCATAAAATTAAAAATGAAAAAATGTAAATTAATGAGTTTTATTTTAGAACTGACCATAAACGTTTTACAGGGTAGAATGATATAGTAACAGGTGATATAATGAAATAGTTATATCAATGTTTTTTCTTTTGTAAATGTTTTGCAAATAATTTTTAATTATGTTAAGGAGAATTTTTTTTTCAATAAGAATAACAAAATAATAATTAAGTTTGCTGTTTTTGCTGTGAGTTATGAGTTAATAAAATATAGTTATATATAAATAGTTATATATATATATATAGTTATTCAAAATTTACAAAATAAAAAACCGTTAAAAGATAAAATTTTTTAGCGTTGCAACGGTATCTGACGTCAAGTTTACGTCAGACGATATTGTGAGTTCCTATTTTCCGGTATCGAATTGTGAAAGCAGGAATTTTTTTCTATGCCTGCAAGAAGAAACCAACTCACTTTTTTTATTAAGTAATGATCTTTGATATTATTGTATAAATTGGTATTAATATCAGATATATCAATATATTTGATAATAATACCAATCTAAGAAATATTTTGTTACTAAATCAGTGGAATAATACATAAAACATAATTAATTGGTTCAAAAATATTAAAGATAAACACATTTATAAATTTCTTATTTTTGACATTGTTGATTTTTATCCTTCAATTAACAAAAAACTCCTGATCGACGCCATTCACTTTGCAGAGCAATATGTTACCATCGCTACTGACCATAAACCTTTAATTCTTCACGCGCGAAAATCAATATTATTTACCAATGACCAAGTTTGGATAAAAAAATTGAGTGGTTTGTTTGATGTAACCATGGGTGCATTTGATGGTGCCATGTTGTAACCATGGGTGATGATGGTTTGTGAACTAGTTGGAATTTTCCTTCTTTTCCAAATTTCCCAATTTTATAGCAAGGATGATTTGAGGTTGTATAGAGATGATGGCTTAGCTGTGTTCAAAAATGTAAGCGGTCCTAAAATGGAGAAAATTAAAAAACATTTCACGCAAATGTTTAAGCAAAACAGCCTTAGTATTTCTATCCAATTTAATATGAAAATTGTTAATTACATAACAGTAAAATAAATAACAGTAGTTTCCAACCATACCACAAACCTGATAGTGCGTTAAATTACATTCACGCTAGTTCCAACTATCCACCTAATATTTTAAAACAGTTACCAACTTCAATTGAGCATAGATTATCAACCAATTCTTCCAGCGAAATAATTTTTAAAAATACTGCCCCTATTTATAAAGATGCATTAGAAAAGTCTTGATTTAGAAACAACATACAATACCATCTATATGTAGGCCCAAATAATACTAATAAGTGAAAGAGAAGCATCATATGGTTTAATCCTCCATTTAGCAAAACTTTGTCACCAAAATAGGACACCTTTTTCTTAAGTTAATTGACTTTCATTTTTCTTTTCATCATAAGTTCCACAAGGTATTTAACAGAAATACAATCAAAATTAGTTACAGCTGCATGCCGAGTGTTGGATCAATTATTAATTCACACAACCAAAAAATATTACGCAATAAACCCACTGCTAGTGTCACCAACTGCAACTGTATTAAAAAACCTTCATGCCATTTAAATAATCAATGCTTATCTAAAAATGTTGTGTATAAAGCCACTACATCTTTAGCTAACACTAGTAATTCCGAAAAATCATTGGTATCAGTGAAAGCTCATTCAAGCTTAGGTTTGCAAATCATTTAAAATCATTTAAAGCTGCTAGATACGAAAACGATACAGAACTTTCTAAAGAAATATGGAAACATAAAAATGCAGGTATTATGCTGTTAATCAATTGGAACATAATTAAAAAGTGTCAATCATATAATCCATCAGCTAAAAGATGTAATCTTTGTCTATATGAAAAATATTTAAATATGACTTATGATCAAGGATCATTACTTAATAAAAAAAGTGAGTTGGTTTCTTCTTGCAGGCATAGAAAAATTTCTGCTTTCACAATTCAATACCGGAGATTAGAAACTCATGATGTCGCCTGACGTAAACTTGACATCAGATACAGTTGCAATGCTAAAAACTTGTATTTTTTAACGGTTTTTTATTTTGTAAATTTTGAATAATATAGCTGAATGATTGCCGAATGGCATGAAACTAATAGTTTCATAAAAAGTTTTTCTTTTTTTTCATTTAAATTATATAAATATAATTTGATCTATTTTACAAAGAAATATTGATCACTCTTAAGCAGACAAGAGCTTTATTTTTGACAGAATACTATACCTATCAACAATTATATATATATATATATATATATATATATATATATATATATATATATATATATATATATATATATATATATATATATATATATATATATATATATATATATATATATATATATATATATAAAACAATGTTTTATAGCAAAAACTCATCCAGAAATGTTAATTAAAGAAATGTTTATTTTCCTTCAAGTGTAAAAAAATGTCACGCCCCTCGGCTGAAATGTTTTTTAATACAATATAGATAGGAATATAATATACTATACATATTACATATGGGCCAGAAAACATAAGTTAAAGAAGTCATAACCCTCTATATATATTTTATTTCATTATATTATTATATTATATATAATAAAATATATATAGACGGTTAATATATATTATATATATAATTTTAAATACATACCAGACGTATGCATTACCACTTTATAGTTTCTAGTTTTTCACTGCCGTGCCTAATTGTTTATTAATTAGTTTCAGATTTTTTTGTGCTGCTTTTAATTAAAATGGCATACAAATACTGCCAATCAAGTGTTGAAAAAAATAAAGAGACTTATAAAAAAAATCTTGTGAAATTTCAAGATTTGCATAAAAGTAGACAGTTTCCAATGTTAGAAACATCTTTTCTAGAATATTCCAAAATGCCATTAAAAAGTGATATTGTTAGCAGGTTTAGGTATTTGTCTAGTACTGATGTGAAAGCGAAAAAGCAAAGGAGCTTATTTTAGAAGAAGTTATAAGTTTGTGGAAAGAACAATTAAATTTCCCATGTCTGACAGAGCAGTCAGTGAAGCGAAAGATTAATGTTATAGAAAAATATGAAAGTCTCAGAAAAAAAGGGAATGCCGACCTTCTGCAAAAAGAGATTTTTGATATAACAAATCAAAATGGCATTTGGTTATCATCTGAAGATAAAAGATTTTATGAAATTCAGTTACAAAGCAAAGGAGAAATTGGATATGCTACTTCAAAGCTGGCAGGAAAGAAGACTATTCATCCATCAATTGTGCAAAAACTTTCCAGCCAACCTTCAGCATCTAAAAGTTTTTCTTCATTTACTGAAAGTAGTAAAATAGAAAGAGACAACTCTAGTTCCGAATTTGAAGAAACTGATGAACAATTTGAGATAGATAATGAAATTACAGATGAAGAATATAATAATTTGAAGAAAAGACGTAAAAAATATAGTAGTTGTAAAATAGCAACAAAGTTAGTGGTTTGTGCTAAGGTATCAACTAAGAAAGCTTCTAAAATAGGTAAAATACTGTCCTTAGAAGGCATACATGTTCCAGCGCCATCACAGTCTGGAATATACAAGGCTCTTTTTAATGAAGCAAAACAATTTAAAGAAACTTTAATTCAAGATTTAAAGAATGAGAATTGGAGTCTACACTTCGATGGAAAGCATATAGACCAATGGGAGTATCAGGTTGTCGTTCTTAAAAATGAAAGAAGCGAAATAAAGTTGGGTGCACTGAAGTTAATAGATGGAAAATCTATCACTATTGTTAATGCCATAGCTGATATTATAGATGAATTTAAACTATGGAATTCAATTAAAATGATTGTGACAGATACTACAAATGTCAATACAGGAAAGAAAAATGGTGTTGTTGTAAAACTTCAGGACATTTTTCAAAAAAAAAGGATTACAAAAACCTCAATTTGTACCATGTCAACATCATATCTTGGATAGAATACTTAGACTAGAAATGGAAGAAAAATTGGGAGAAAATCCGAACTCACCAAACATTAATTACTTTTTTACTAACGAGTTGTTAGAACATTATGAAACACTGAAGACAAATTTTTATAATGGTACAGAAGAAATAAAAGACACAGGAGGATGGTGAGACGACATGAAGTTTCTGTTTCATCTGACGAGAACCTACCGATACTATGACCAAAATAAAATATTTCCTAATGTAAGATTTCAAAAAATTCCTAATATCAGTAATGCTCGGTGGAGTTCAAGAGCTATTTTAGCGTTGTTAGCCTACATTCTTATGCCAAAAACAAAAAACAAACTTGAATCTGTATGTACCTTTATTTCTTACAAGTGGGCAGACTTTTGGTTTAACGACCAAACCTATAAAGAAAACACTTATTCAGACCTTCATGAAGTTTTATTAAACAAAAAGAAACCTCTTGCTACATTTACAAGTCATAGGAATCCAGAACCATCAGCAATCAACATTCCCAGAAGTGATCAATGTGCTGAAAGAGCAATTAAAGTAATGGAGGAGCTTTATAGATTGTGCAGAAATAAAGACAATCTTCCACTTCGTTTCATTTTGTCTAATAAACAATAACTGTATGTATTTAAATTGTATGAAATGTTTTTTCCTGCATTGAATATAACACTATGCCATGTATTAATTGTTAGAATAAATTATGTTTTTTTATAGAATCATATGAATGAACATATTTGCAAATAGAAATGATTTTGGTCATTAATTTTTTTAAAACCTTTTTAAATCTTAATGTGCTTTGGGGCGTGACATTTTTTTTGAACATTGTGAAAGTATTAATATTTTCGCATTTTAT